ATTATAAGAGCTAATTAACTAATTTGAGGAGATTAAGAAAAGAAGTTAAGTTAGTTATTTGTAATAAATATTTGTTGTTTTTCCTAAAATATCCTTACTAATCAAGTGTATTGACTAAAACTATTATTGTTAGAATGATTATCTTGAAAAAAAAAATGCATAAATATTAGAGACAAAATAGATTAGGGTCTTATATTTAGGTCCAAAATAAAAATCAAACGACGTTTTATATTAAGGACCAGAGGTAGTACATCATAACAAGATTAATGGAATTTCAATAACATTAAATAAGACACTTCACAGCTTTTGTGAATGGACATAATCTAATCTCTAATTAATCTGGAGTCATCACCCGATCATTTACAATAATTCACGATAACGATAACTCTCCTGGCGGCTGGTTCCATATTCTATAAGAATCAATCACAAGAACTTAAATTGGAATATGATGTATGTACCCATGTAGTTTCTCTTATTTATAGATTAAATATATAACTTAACTAGATAATCCATATTCTATATTGCATTCAGTTCTAAATTACCTTCTATTTGAGCTAGACTCCTACTTCTCATCATCTTTGTCACATACTCATATCAACCACTTTCTCAAAATTTCACTCAACTCCAACTAATATAGATCGAGTCAGGTTAGACAAAAATACTACATTAGTTTTAAACATAAGACCTAATTAACTAATTTGAGGAGATTGAGATAGTCAAATAAATTACTTGAAGATATTTATGTTTAATTTTTTTTAAACTAATTTGTTTGACTTGTAAACTGATATATAATTTAATAATACATATAATTATTTCAAAAAAAAATCATGCAACATATGTTATAATTAAAAAATTTATGTAATTTTCTTAATCTTTTGCGAACTGATCATCAATTGAATATTGGATTAAGCACTGGAGGTGGTACATTATTATGCATAAGGCGTAGGTGGAGAAGAGAGGACAAGTTGCAAGTATTCTATAAAAGAGAAAGATAGTGGGAAAAATGGGAGGGGTGTGATAGTCTACTTCGCATGTGCAAAGAAGAGAAGATGATGAATGATGAAGTGAAATAATTGTAATATTGTAGTTTGAACCGAAACAAATTAATAAAAATCATCAATAATTTTAACAAGTGGGCCTCTTGTGCTCTTCGCACGTGCATGTGGCTTAACACTTGGCATCATCTTCATTCTAACTCACTTTCGATCTCTGGCCAAATAATAAAGCCAGCTTGCGAATTATATTCTAAGATTAATTACAACAACACAAATCAGATATGGTTTTCTTTAAACACAAAGTTTGTTTGTTTGTTTGTTTGGTCTAAAGAGGTTTGGCAACAACATAGGTACGTAATGTGGAGGGAATCAAAGAGAGATATGGAAGGAGCTGGCAAGATATATATTTTATCTGTTGTTTAATTAATTAGTTGACCATTTAATTTTGTAATTTAAGGTTACTTCTGAATTTTAGGCAACATATTCTGTGGGTATGTGCCAATTACCTTATCTCTTAGCATCCTGTTTTCTAAAATAATAATAGTAGTAGTAGTAGTAATAATGTTCTTCTATTCTATGTCGTCGTCTTATCTTTTCCTTTTATTAATCCAAGATATTACTGGCATTTGACGATGCAAAGTTGCAATCATGTTTTTTTTTTTATAAAAAAATTGCAGGTTATCAATTGGTGCTGGATAGATAAAAATATAGGATAAAACAATATGAGATCGTCAAATTTGAAACAAAAAAGATAAATCTATACAAATTATATTTAATTTTTAATAAACAAATGGAAGTTCAATAATAAAAATAGACCTAAAAATATCAAGAAATCATGTTGTGAGAGAATGAATGACTGTATCCCAGATTCCCAGCAGATCAAATTAGGTGGACCCAGGTACAGCTGTACGGTAATGATGCCGACATGGCATCTCCTAAGGATATTCTCAAATGAACGAATGCCACGTAGGAATAAGAGCGTGGGCTTCACGTGAGAGGGGGTGGCGCACAGAATTCCCCAAAACAAAGCGGGAAATAGAAGACACAGAGCTTCCCATAATAGGGAATGAGCTGTTTATTTTATTTTATTTTATTTTTTTACTTTTTAATTTTATTCGCGAAATGCGGAAATATTTTCAATGATAACCACCAAAATCCTTTTTTTTTGGTAATTACACCATCGAATTCTTTTTTGAAAAAAAAAAATTTGTTCCAAAACCCAGAAAAGTACTAAAGGGAGATTTCCTTTTTCTGTAAAAATGCTAACGTATATAACTAACACTATAGATATAGAATGTTCCATCTAATCTTAGGTGAGTTTTACTATTCGCTGGCACAAAAAAAAGAAGAAGAAGATGATGAATTTTACTATTCATGACTTAGAATAATATACTCCTAGAGATTTTATATTTTATATAAATTCGTTTTTATAGAATTATATTATGTATATATAAATCAGACACATGTTATTTTTGTACATTATATAGAGTTTGAGACGCGTATTCATAATTTATGAATGGTATGATATATTCTAAATTTTATACTTTATATTACATATTGATATATTAGCGAGTAATGTGAACCTATTGTTATTCCTTCCACTGGAATTTGTTATTATAATCTGCTCAATTCTTGTGGGACTATCTAGTGATTACATTCCTCGCTTGAGACCTTATAATAATTCTCCCATATAACTTCAAGTTTTCTATCTATTTACTATATATATCATTTCAAGTTTTCTTTACTCTATATTTTTTTATATAGTTTTAAAGTTTATTACGACTTCACACAGATTATATATATACTGTTCATTGGTAGATCCACTTGGAAAGAAAACGATGGGTGTGCGTCTTTAAAATTTTAGATTTTGATTGAAAAACTTGATCAATAAGATGAAATATCTATCTGTACTGGCTCTTCTTGAAAGTAAATTCCTTAATTTGGTCATAATTTAACAAGAAGTCTCTCCCACTTAAATGAGGTTGGTATGTATCACATGACTTTTTTGAACTCTATTAAAAACAAAAACCTAATTTTTCAGATATACATGTCCTTCACTATGAAATCTGGAGACCATTTGATCAGCTCTCTTCACTAACACGTCTTGTTTATGTACATGTGTGTGCACAAGTCATCTTAACTAAAATAACTTTTCTTGTACACGATCATTTTAGATCTTATTATTTAAACATTCTTATCTCCAGTACCTTTGCTTTTTGCTTTTCTTTTCTTTTCAATACCCAAAATTCACTATAATATCACTCATACGAAAATCATAGTTTTACTCACCTAATCAGATCTCCTACATATGAGAGAATGATACAAGGCGATAACAATGCATATATGCAAACTAAAAATAACTATTTACATTATAATAAAAGAGGGAAAAAATAGTGCATTTATATTAAAAATTTAATAAAATGACTTATAAATAAGACAACAAAAGAACTTTCTCTGTCTGTCTTATAAATAGCATCAGAGGAGTAATTTCAATATCTTAAACGAATGTGGCAAGACATATGTGTTACATATCTTTTAGGAAACGCAACACACCATTTAATTATAAAATAAAATAAAATCAGAGGCTATGATTAAGACCATGATTAACTGTAATTTCTTAGAGATTGATAGTGGTGGCATCAGTCAAAAGATGCTCTTCATTTAACTGCACTTTTACCGCAAACTTCACAGTGCGCATGGAATGTGTGCGCGCGCGCGCAACAGAGATCTGACCTTTCCCCTCTTGGAAAAAAGAATACACCAAAGAAGTTATCAATAATAAGAACAGATAATATTTCTTTCTAACTGTCATGATTCAATTTTCTTAAATGTATTTTGTAAGCAAGACCTTAATTAGATGCATATTGATGTGCTTGAGTATACTTTCAAAAATCATATCGAGGTTGTAAACAGAAAAGAATTCAACAGATAAAGAATACAATAAAATATTCATTCACTTGAGATTCAAAAAATTCTTCTCTGAGATCTCATGTTCCCCATCTTCCCAGAATATAGTCTTAACACCCAACTGACCAAAATGCTTCCTTTTTCTTTTTCTTCCTCTAAAAGAACTGCACTGCCCTAATTAAATTGTTACAGATCAGTGTGTGTTTATAATACTAGCTGTGCTTCTAATTATAAGACCTAGTTTATAGTCTATAATAAGGTCTTATAATTACGATCGGAGATAATATTACATTATAGCCTCTTCTTTTTCATCATATTATTCAGTGCTTTTTTTTTTTTTGCCCCCCTTGGCCTGTATTACCATATCATGCAGTTCATGTAACATTAATTTATAATAGTATACTCTATTCAATTGCTGACTTGATGGTTCAAGTACCAAGATTTGTTTTCATTATAATAACTTGAACCGTTTTCATTCTTATCTCTCTATATATATAAGTCTTCTCTTCAGCAAAAAAACACACACAACCGCTGCATCAAGTTCGTCTGCAATTCCATGAAAGCAGCTGAAGGTACGACCTTCTGGTACTACTCTCTATTCAAGATATATACATGTTGGTACAAACAAACTTGAAACTTCTTATTTTTAATTGCTTGTTATATCCACATACAGCCCAGAATAATATTTCCGTTTCAAATCTGACAACAAAGTTTTTACGACAGTTTTTGTCATCGCAACGAACTGATCACTATATGAAAGTTGGAGTCCATCATCTCTTCTTCTTTTCCCTAAAGGATTGAAGACTCCAAAGAAAGATATTCTCATAAGAATCTTGGCTCTTGATTATATATTTTGGTTTCCAGAAGCTGCTAGATCTAGAATCGGTAAGCTCTTATTGATATACATAATAAATACTTGCCCAACCTTAATTAGTCCTTCACACACACACGCGCGCACACACAGATATTGAATGTGTATGTGTGTGTATATAATTTCTCTGATATATAGACTTAAATGTGGTAGGTGGGAAGAAACGCTTGTTCCTCAACTCTCATCTACAGCTTTGAATTTATAGTATTAATTGTCGGTTGATCAGTATGGATGGTCTTCTTCCCTGGGATGCTTCTGAATTTGCCACCAATATGCCTATCTTGTGGAATACCCACCAACTAGACATTGAAGAGGAAGCAGGCTACTCCATGCCTCACTTGGATTATCAACCAGCTCAAACAGGTCAATATCATCACAATCTTTATTCAGCTTTTGATCTTGTTCCGGATTATTTCGACACCAATATGGCCGACGACCAGCAGCAACAACAACTCATCAATAATGGAGATGACGGGAATATTTCCATGATTCTCTCTGATAGCTATAGAAGAAACATGGAACTTCAACAACAATGCTATTTCAGTTTCCCCGGGCGAATCTCAGAAAAGTAATAACGCTTCTGCAACTTCCAATGGTAGCAGAAAGAACAAGGACGACGTCGTTCTATGTAATGTCAGTGAAATTGAAGAGGCCATCTCCCGGAGCACTTCATCACGTCCATGTGTCGTCGTCAATAATATTTCAGAACCTAACAAGCCCAATCATGCAAAAAAGAGTTTTGGGCTTGTTTCATCATCGTCTTCTTCAAACATAAATTTTCAGCAGCCAAACTCAAGCATATCATCTAATTCCAGTAGTATTGGCCAAGAGCCTGATCAAGAGGCTATAGCATTAATGAAGGAGATGATATATAGGGCTGCGGCTTTCAGGCCTGTGAACTTAGGTTTGGAGGTAGTGGAAAAGCCCAGAAGGAAGAATGTGAGAATATCGACAGATCCACAGACTGTGGCAGCAAGGCAAAGGAGAGAGAGAATAAGTGAGAGGATTAGGGTTTTGCAGAAGATAGTGCCTGGTGGAAGCAAGATGGACACAGCTTCAACGCTTGATGAAGCTGCAAATTATCTAAAGTTTCTCAGGTCACAGGTCAAAGCTTTGGAAAGTCTAGGGGACAAGCTTCATTATTCTATGAACTGTACCCCTCTCTCTTTTACAAACCCTAGTCATCAATATTACTTCAGCAATACCATACCATCCCTCCAATTTAGGGAAGGAGAGTTAACTAGGGTTAAAACATGGGGTCAAATCCATAATCTTCAATGATTTTGATCACTAGCAATGATTAAATTCTGATTTTCCTCTTTTGCAAAAAGATTCTGGTATGGAAATTGTAGTTTTCATCAGGTACTGTTTAAATTTAAAATTCTAATTTTGGCATGAGAAGGTTTTATATTATTAATTATTTCTGGTGCTGAAATGCAATGAATTTTTTTAGGCACTAAATGAAGGACAAAATTCCAAGTTGATCAGCATCACATGATCGATACAGTTTCCTTCACATATAATGCATTTTGGGGAGTCTGACAAGAAACCCATTTCATTACATAATGGCGTGTTCAACTTGTACATTGTATACAGATATGTGTGTGTATATATGGTTGAACTTATTTATATTTTCTGTTCTATAGAAGACAAGCCCCTATTAAAATTTAAGGATTTCTATACTTAGAGAGAGAGGCGTAATATTAAAAGAAAATATTAGGAGAGACGTCCAAAATTGAATGAATTATTAGATAGTTTCTTCCTTTCCCTTTGAAAACTGTTCTCCTTCAAAAAAATTTTAATAATTTGGAACAGCTCAAACTAATGAAGGGAGGAATTCAGAATCTTTTTGAACAACAATTTAAAAACCATCCACCGCAATTTCCTTTTGTTTATAGAGCAAATTAACTCTCAAATAAGAATGACTTTTCAATGAAAGCTTTTTCACTTCGCCTTGTTTCTTCACCGTTCTTCAACTACACACACACACACACACATTCTTTTTGTAGAAAGTGAAGAAGCAAATTAAAACACAGAAAAAGAAAGAAGAAATTATAATGTCTTAATGCTATGTTTGGATGGAGAGAAAATGAGAGGGAAAGAAAAACTAAGAAGGAAAATAAGAGGAGAAGTGGTTTTTCCTCTGTTTGGATGAGGGAAGAAAAGTAGGAAAAAAAATAAGATGAGTCCCACATCCCATTTTCTTCTCAACTTTTCTCTCCATATATGGAGAGAAAATGAGAAGACAACATATTTTTTTCCTCTGCCTTACATATGTTTTTTTAGCAAAATAATATCTATTTACTTTTTTTCATTTTTTCACTTTATTTATTATTATCAAGTTTTTCTTCTATGTTTGCTTAATTGAAAAATAAAATAACTAAAATTGCAAAAATCCTTCTAAAATGAACTGAAAAGAAAAACTTGTAGAGTTGTTGTTTTGGTTTTTTTTAGCATTACATTACACAAAATGTTATTTTTTTTACAAAATTATTTGATATAATATATATTTATCAAATAATTTGATTTTAAATTATATGATTATGTTAATATAAATATGGTTTTTCATTATGATATTTAATTTGATTTTAATCAAGATATATTTTGATATAACAGAAAGGGTATTTTAGTTATTTATACATTTATTCATTTTCTTTCCTTTTTGTTTTCTCTTGTTCATCCAAACATGAGGGGTGATAATATTTTTTCTCTGATTTTTTCTCCATTTTCTCTCCTCTTATTTTCTTTCCTCTTAACTTTTCTTCTCATCCAAACAGAAGTTAAATCACGTAGTAAAACTTTCATTATTCTTTATCTTTTAATAACTCCCATAATGAGAAAAATGCTTCAAACATTATTTTTATTCCCTTCTAATAATAACCCTTATTCAATAAACACATCATTTGAGATGATACACTAATTAAAGTGATTTCAAGAAGTGAGATGTGGGAGAAACATAAAAACAAAAAGTGATCGAAATCTACATTTAAGTCCCACTTTTGCATGTGTCTCTAATTATAAAAATGATTAAGTGATCAATTACATATTTAAAAACCAGAAAAGCGTAGCAATTATAGCACTTATGATTAGAAAGTGGTTGTCACTTTGATAAGTATAGTTTATTCCCTTCTAATAATAGCCCTTGTATTCAATAAACACATCATTTGAGATGATATACTAATTAAAGTGATTTCAGGAAGTGAGATGTGAGAGACACATAAAAATAAAAAGTGATGGAGAAATCTACATTTAAGTCCCACTTCTGCATTTGTCTCTAATTATAAAAATGATTAAGTGATCGATTACATATCCAACAACCTGAGAAGTGTAGCAATTATGGCACTTATGATTAGGAAGTGGTTGTCACTTTGATAAGTGTGCTTTATAATAATATTTCAACGATGACGACGACAACAACAATAATAATACTTAAAAGCTTACTGTATATTTTAAGAGACATTCTCTTAACAGTGGTGAGCTGAGCTACTCAGTGTTGCTCTCTCCTTGATACAACCCAAAGCGTGCCCTCATAAACCAATATCACTATAATAGTACTTAATTATCTTTTATGTAAATCCCAAATATTCTCAAAATATTAATGTTAACAACTAATGATTTCGCTAATGATGTTGACTTATGACTATGATAATTAAACATCGCCACTCTAAGCACATGTCTCATTGTCTCCGCCCTTCCGGTGATCTGCGTATGATTCCGACCACCTTTTTCGATTTCTCAACTATTTTGGGTCTAAACATAATTATATTTTAAGAAAATATTTGTAATATATTTGTTCACCATTGATATGAAAATGTTTATTATTTGGGGATATGCTGCCCTTTTCTTGTGGGGTTCATGAGTAGTAGATTATCCGGAAATTTCTTCTAAAGTCTCTTCCTTCATGTAGAGGTTGAACTTTGAAGGGATGGCTCCAGCTATTAAGATTTCCAGCTCACTCTGTGTTATGTTGGCTTATGTTTTACGTCTGCCTTAGATAGGTCAGATAATATTTATTAGAAAATTGGGAAATCTAATAAAATGAGAGAATAAATTAAAATTAACTCCTGTGAGAGAATTATGGAACAAGAAAGCCTAATTTCCTGATTGTTAATTGAAAGGCCAGCAGCGAATCCTCCTGCAATAAATGAGAAATAACACCTTCCAAAATAGTGGTCGTACAGCTCTATATATCTGAATAATTTTAATTTTAAATTTCATTGCCTTTAAATTTAGAAGGTCAATCTTATGAAAAATAGTTTGTTATCATGTCTCCGAAAAAAAGTTATCATCATATCATATCTTATCAGTATAATTATTGCCTTTAGATATAAAAAAGATATCATATCTGTTTTTTATTTTAAATTTATTAGATAGGAATTAAATTTAAAAAGAATAAAGCACTGGACGTATTGATTTCTTATATGAATTTTCTTTATAATAAAATATTTTATGAATAAACTTTTTACTCCTAACGAAACTAAATTTATTCAAACAAATCGACTCCTAAGATTTTTTTTACGAAAGTTATCTTTAATTTAAATATTTTCATCGTAGGTTATCCTTATCGTTGTTAAAATCTATCCAATTATTATTATAAATAGAGGATCAGACCTCAGAGGCGACACAAAGTGAAGGTCGAGTAATTTAGAATTGTCTTGTTCCTCTTTCTAAGAGCAATTAGATTTAGCGCTTCAAATTCAAAGAAGAAGATGGCATCGTCGTCGAAGACTATTACAGTGGTAAGCAGCGACGGAGATGAGTTCGAGATGACCATGAAGGCCGCAGAACAATCGAAGCTAATAACTCACATGCTTGATGAATTTGGTGTTTCCGACAAGGTCCCATTATACAATGTGAATTCTGAGACGATGGCAAAAGTCATGGAATACTGTAAGAAACATGCTGATCATGAGGCTGCCAAGGAGGAGGACGGCGGAGCCGCCATTGGTGCCGGCGGCGAGGAGGAACTGAAGAAATGGGATGATGAGTTTCTGAAAGTGGAGAATGGTTTGCTGTTTAATATAATACTAGCGGCGAACTATCTGGAAATCAAAAGCTTGTTAGATTCATCATGTCAGGCTGTGGCTGATATGATAAAGGGAAAAACTCCAGAGCAGATTCGAGAGATTTTTAATATAAAGAATGACTTTACTCCTGAGGAAGAAGCGAAGCTCCGCAGTGAAAATGAATGGGCCTTTCAAGAAGATTGAAGTCAAATTTCTTCTTCTTCTTCTTGCTTTTTCCCCCCCCCCCTTTTTGAGGTTTTTGTGGTTTGAATTTTTTTTTTCCAGTGCACAATTATTAATAATAACTTTATTTACATTTGTCAATTTTTAGGCATATATTATAGTTCTTTTTTTTTTGGTGAAGTATAATTCTTATACCTGAACAAGTCTTTCAATTTCTTCTAATCTGAATCTCAAAGAAAATATCATAGATGAATTCTTTTAAATAATAAATAAGGATGAAAATATGCAATAAACTAGCAATTTTTAAGACCCATTTAAATATGATCTCTACCTCTTGAAAGGAATTAGTCATTGATATGAAAGGATGCCATTAACAGACATACCTACTTTCATTCGCCTCCCTTTAAAATTGCACCTACCCTCTTATAAAATTTTTCTTGTTTCCCCCGGAAAAAAAAATCAATTGCCTCGCATCACATTAAATTTTGCAAATATCTAGCATATGTATTTAAAAATCGTTTATCATTAAATTCATTATGACATAAATATATGACTTAAATTAAATGAAATTAATAAATATAGTTTTAATCATAGAAAAATAGCAAAAAGTCTCTATTTGAAAATTTTAATATTTATATAACTATAAATGTTGTCCCCCCTCAGTAAAGGGCACTAATGCCGTTGATAAAAGATTTATATTAGCTATTAATGTTGTCCCCACTAGTAAGGCCTCCATTGATTAAAAAAAATAATATAATATCCTTTTTTTTTGGGACTCAATATAATATCCTATTTAATTTCAAAAATTTAACCTCGGTTCTTGTCTCTAAAATTTGAAACTAGCATTTTTTTTTAAAAATGTTGTCTATAAACGTTAATCCCGTTTCATTCAGAGTCTCTTCTTTCAGATTTTTAGGTTCAAAGGTTGAAAGATAGTTTCACGTTCATCCCAAGATCTTAAGTGCACTCTGCGTTGGGCATGGGGTTCGAGTCCGTTCTTCATTAGCCAAACTATTTAATTAGAAAAATAAAAAATTTAATAAATGATAGAATAAATCAGCATTAATTCCTATGAGAAAATTAGGAAACAAA